AACTAAACTCATTACCTATCTAAAATACCACGCCAATCCGCGGACATAATAAAATGTGATCAACTGCCCGATTATATTTAGTTTTTATATATATTGCACTCATGCGAATTCGTTGTCGTCATTAGAACGATCTGGTATAATATCCCGGAAAGTAGATTTAATTTAGTACAATTAAAATACATGTAAAGTATATTAGTAGATGAAAAATACATATTCATCGAAACGAAATCCCCGTGGTACGGCTTCTGAGTCAGTCCTCGAGATTACGCCAATCGTTAAAAGAGCCGACTTTTTCAACGGATATGTAATGGTTTTTCTGTTGAATGAAATATTCAATCCATGATTGGTATACTTATTTAAAATAGTTGCTTTATTCATTTAATTGTGATAAATTAAATTTGCGATTGCGTCGATAAAATAAAAGCACCAGTACTCCAAAATAACACGGTAATCCGCAACCATAAAAATGTCGATTACATTTTGTTTTGATTTGTATTCTTGCCAATTTCACCAATATGAGCTGTCCCTGCAACTCTTACTCCGCTCTATCGCAATGCCGCCAGTCGATTAATTTCAAGATATCACCGTTACAGATATTCCTAAGTCTGCGATCCCACGGAGTAAAATTTATATCAAGTCTGTAGTTTCAGAACACTACTGGTGTGCAGCACGCACAAGGAATTTATGAGATTTTCAATGTCTAAGAAAATGTGTTTTTATTCTGTCGCCGTCCACCCCAAAACAAAACTCATGGCGTTTTCCGTTTTATTTTTAGTATTTCATAATGCCACTTTTACAATAAAGAAATTTTTAGTTACGGATTCACTTCTTTATTCTACCTTTAGCATCTCGTCGCTGATGATTATAATAAAAACTAACTCGTTTACCTCAAGAGGTGTCAATGCGAGAACAAAAAAGTAATTATAATCGTCTTCGCGGCACAAGAATATGTCGAACGAAACCTCGGATTTAGGAAGAATAAACACCGAAATCAAGATTTTTAGGGCTTAAATAACACGCCACGCTGGCGTAGACAATGGAGATTTAAACAAAATGCAATCGCAAACGCCTTAGCGACAACAATTGATTGAAATTTTACGTGTCTTATGTAAACGTTTAAGCAGAAAATACATTAAAGCATAGGTTTATTGCTTGTTTAGTTTTGCTTGATAATTAGTTTGACTTTGCCAAGTATTGCAAACTGAGCGGAAAAACGAGAATGTAATGTATGATGACCAACCACTATTTGGCTTTATACATACGACAGTGAATGGCGAAGTTGTACATCGTACTTAAACGAAGCGTTTTATGCCAAAACAATCTGAGCGATGACGCTATGAGACCAACACTCAGTTGGTCGTCATCTTAATATATAACAACTTGTCCATCACAAAAGCATTTTTTCAAAGCAAAAAGGGAGGGGCGGCTCAAAAAGTTTGAACCACTGGCTTATTTACTTTTGTTTTGTCACCCTGGCAGATTTTCAGTCGTGGTTGCAAACAATACTCTCTTTTTTTGCGATTTTGAATGCTATTCGTTGGTTTTGGATTGCGTTTGGGAAATTTAAGTATGAATCAAATACGTCAATCATCATTTGCCTCCTTAGGAGTTGTAGTTTTAATGGTAGTAATTAAAAATTAGTCTAGAAATAGCTGTGACAAAATAGGCTAAAATTCTCTACCGGTACGCAACGTTTTCTGCGAAAGATGCACTCGTGGCGCGTGCTTTCGACGAAACTGTTTACGTTTCTTGAACGTCGAATGTACATGTTGCGCTTACAGTACTGTAATCCCTCGCGTACTGCTCCAATTTCACAAGTCACACTAACTTTTGTACTGCTTAAATCTGGATATTCATGTAGGTATGTTACAAAAAAATTAAAATTTATCCGATTTAAATAAAAACTGCGCCAGTGGATCTGAGTGAAAATAAGAAAACAATACCAAGCTTATAAAAAACGATCAAGAAATAACGGAGATATCGGAATTTTAGTATCACCAGACAGGCCAATTTTTTCCATAAGGATTGTATTACTTTTTCATAAGAACTGCAATAAATATGAAACAAGAACACATATCAATCACTAGTCTTTCGATCTGCGTCACATCTATGGAATATTGAGACTATTTTAGGATTTTATTCTGGCAACGGTCTTGATACCGCCGAAAGATCGTCGCAAATAAACGCTGGAGTTGTGCACGTTAGTTTGACAGTGGTTCATTGTCGGTAATAATTAACGATGTTCTGATTGTACAAATTTCATAAAAATTGGTAATTATCAAGTTAGGAAAGGAATACACACGTCCACATAAATTTTATTGATGTCCATAGACAATATCATTAATCTGTACTACGTATAAATAGAGCGTAATTTTTAAAAGCTCCGAATGTTGGGACATTTATGCGCTAATGAAAAAGTTATGAGCGGTATTCCGACACGGCGTAACGGTACTTAGCAGACGTGATGCGTACATTTTTTGGAGCGAAAAATTTGTAACATTCCTAATTCATGACTGCAACGTTTTGATAACAGCTAAACTTAGGAAAGTTGTCTAGATATAGAAATCTTGTATAATTGTTTTCCTAGTATGTTCTCGATCTATATGTTGCGATACCGGTATAGATAGAATTTAATATTCGAGTCTTCAGAAATATATCATATATATTGTTGAATTAATTGAATGGATTTCCCAACTTTTGTGAATTCATTGTATTGTATTAACAAAAATATCTGTCCGGCCCGTTTCAACACAGTTTGAGTCATATCCGGCCCGCGGTCAAAAAAGTTTGGTGACCCCTGGCTTAATCAAACGATTGGATTTCACAACTCACTTGCGGATTTCCGACGAAAACACGAGTCGGCACACGCGTGAATAGATAGATACCTAAGTGGTGTTTCTCGCGAGCTCGAACAACGAGAAATAATTCTATTTCTGGTAGGTGCCAATGGTGGCAACCTAAATTTTCTAAATTGAAAAGCGGCAATACAAAGTACTAAAAATGAGGCGGAGAACACCCTAAGTTTTGTTTATGATGGTCCGCGATCGATTAAAAACGCTTTTTTAGACATTGCAAATTGCAAAATTTCGCGTGCTACCGGAGTATACGTATCAGGACATTTTCCCTTAGGATTCTTTGCTTTACTGCCTCCAAATTGGTACGTACAGTACCGAAGCGCCGTGAGTGTTGTACGAACAGCTCAGATTTGTCGATTTTACAAAAATACGAATCAAAACAAAATATAATCGGACACTTTACCACGCATTTTTGTGCCCATGGATTGTCATGATGTTTTCTGAGTAGTACAACCGCAGATTAAAATTATCACAATTAGTATTAAAGCAAGGTGATGAATATTTTTATTTGATTTACTTATATACTTTAATTACATTTTTAATAAGTACTAAATCATGATGTACTTTCTGGAAATTTATAGCAGATAGTAGAATTTTTCTAACGGCGATAACAAATTCGCAAGATCACAAAAAATATGTTTCAAAACTAAATATAATCGGGCAATATATTCTCACATTATTTTGTTCGTAGATTGCCGTGGTATTTTAAAGAAGTAATGCTTTCATGTTGTCATAAGGCGACGAAACCGCGAGTGACCATGAACACAATTAAATTAAAATAGAAAGACATTTTAAATTCTTGTCGTTGTCATGGATTGAATATTGTGAGACAGAAAAAGATATTTATACTCTAAAAAGTCGGCTCTTTTAATAAACGCGTAATTGCGGCGAATTTCCGTTTTTGAAATTTGTAAAAGTTCTGTTGTGGTTGGTTTTATTACTTCTCCACACAGAGTACGGTTGCAATAAACGCACGCTGAGTCCGCAAAGATTAGCGCCGGTGAGAAAATAGTCCGCGACCCAAAAAGTACGGTTTGGTACGGTATCAGTACGGACTTCATTTAATAATAGCATTTGAGTCACTGGTGGAATTATTCACGGATCTATTAATCATTTATTGTATAAATGGTTACTTTTCAGTTATTTGAAATTAATTATATAACAACACATATTCGCTAAACAAATTAACAATCACAAAAAGGTATGCAACAAGCAATAAATATAATTTATTTCACTGAGTTTTTTTTTAACGAATAGGCACCAGTTCACGCTACAGTAAAAAGACAATGAATGCGGTGAGAAATATAAATATATAGATATGGTGACCAGTAGAAACACTACAATAATGTATCGCTCGCAATATAACCCCCTCACATAAGTAATACATTGGGTGAGCGAACACGTACTACTTCTTTTATCAATTACCTTTCCATTTCCTTTGCCGATTCTATAATCAGTTACTTTTATTTTTTTTACCTATTATGTTATCGTCCATTGCTAATTATGGAGTCGAAATAAACTTATACCTCTACATTTGTAATGAGTAAGTGTTCGAATACAGCATTTTCCCGGGTTGTAACATACGGTACGGTTCAATTGCAGGTACCGTGCATGTCTTAACATTACCAGTTTCCACATTACTTATAAACAAAAATATAACTAAACAAATACGGATGTCTTAACTTTACCATTGCGCTGGCCTGGCCCCATTTTCTCCGTGGTCCGGCCCCTTTTGTGTGGCCTGGCTACAAAGCCACAAAAAAGTTATCACCCCTGTTGCCAAAAAGGTTGGGAAACGCTGTTTTAGGGTCAAAGGTCGGTGAGCTGTAGGTACTCTCAAAGCAAAGTGACTATAAACTTTGCTTCAGTTCAAAGTGAATATTATAAGTCACTTTCGGTACCGGTACCTTATGATGTGATCACATCGTGTGTGCGATGTAGGCCAAACAATGATACGGCGGTATCTATTTGTCGTCGATAATCAAGTCTTGTGGGGAATGTGTTTAAAATTATGAAACTGTTTAATTTGGGGCAACTTATACTACTATACTAATTCGACACTAAAATCTCTTTACGAAATTTCCGTTTGGTATTGGAATTTATTTGGCGAGAAAAAGATAATCAAGTATCTTTTTATCACATTTCAGTTGTAGTCTATATACGGGTACCGTATGTGGTATTGATTTGTTAAAAGAAAATGGACACACCATCAAGCTCCATAGCTGCCACACCATCAGGACGAACGCCAGGCAGGACCCCTGCACATGGTGAAGTTGTTCCCCATCAACCAAAAGCAATGATATATATTTGTGGAGGTGAACTAAGTTTAACACATTACAGCATTTTTGTATGTGACCATACTCATATCAGATAATTGTGTGTCTGCTTTTCGGTCAAGGCACCAGACATTCCAAACATTGTGGTGGGATCCAATAATTAGTTTCCCTTGGATGAATGACCATTTTAATCCAATGGCAATCTCAGAATCAAGGTTACCTTTCCACAACCTTTTGCTACTAAATTATTTTTTAGAATGTCATCAAGAAAATGAAATAAGGTCTCGTGATCCAATCCGATGTAGAGAATGCGGTTGCCGAATTATGTACAAGAAAAGAACAAAAAGAAGTAAGTGATATTGAATATCAAATACTGAAATATGATTTAAAAAGCTCAATTCCATATTTTTCCATTATTTTGTTCAGTGGTGGTATTCGACTGCAGATGAAAAGTTTTAATGCACAACCATAATAACGTAAATCCATTGAAGATTTTTCTTGTGACAGTGAGGGGAAAAGACTTTATAAATCGTCAACTTTCAAATGACTACAGACTACATATTTGCACAGAACATTTCTGTGATCTACCAAGTTCAATCATAATATTGACATCCTGTTCTTTTGTAACTGGATTATTGTACTCCACTGCCTCACCACATGACTTTCTATTTGAAAATTTGTTCTCCAGTACATTGTTTTAAATATTTGCTCTGGAGTAGGCTTAGAGTAAATTTTTTTTTTGATGGCCGGCCTGGCATTTTTTAAACCCTGCTACTACATCAATAAACATTATATTGAATAAATGGCGAATGATCTGTTTTCTAGTTTGACATGCAAGCTGTTTGAGATACATTGGCATTGTTAGACCTTTTTGAGCATAAATTAAAAATTCAATAGGACTTGTATCCAACTATGTTTTGAGAAATGTTCATACTTTGCACTGCATTATATTAAATAAGACTAATAGAATATTCATTCAGTGGTTTGTGGCCAATATGCAAATGTTACCCCAGCGCAAGACGATGATGTATGGGTCTAGTGCCTCTAGTGGGCTTGGCCAGTTTTGCATATGTTATTCCTAACCCCCACCGGACTACGTCATCCAAAAATTATAGCTTGCCGAAGTATAGCTAATGGCAACAATCTCTCTCATTTTGGGTTTGTTACAAGAAAATAGCTTGCTCGACTTCGGTTAATCGTCTGCGCGCTTTGGACAACCATCCGTATATTTTGTTGGGGTTTAGGAATGACGACCCCAAAAATGATTGACAAGTTCCAAATTATATTCTCAACATTTTGAATAAGTTTGCAAAATGACTTGGCATTGCTGTAAGTGCCATAACCCACTGGAGCATATGTGTACATTTTCGTGTCCCTTGATTTAAGCTGTGACATGCATGTAGGACAATTTCATTGAAAACTCAATATAAGATCTTGGATGCTAATGCGTGTAAGCACAATTTCAAATTTGTAGTGCTACCTACTATTCATACAACCGCCTGTTGATTTTAGTGCATTTTATTCACCATTAGTATTACAGTCAAGCTGGTATGAAATATAAGGTAGCTCTTAAATTTCTAAATCATTATCTAAACTAGTAAAAATTGTCTACTTGATTACTGTAATGGAGCATTTCATAAAAAGGAATGAAAACCAGATTTGTTCTGTTATTATAATGTACAGAATAGAAAAATATGACATATTCATTTCCTAGAGTCATTCTTCATAAAAGGAATATGCTGGGAATTGTTATATTGGGGAATGCTTTATTCTTCAGAACCAATGAAGTACCAAATTACCACTGATGCAGTGTAATAGATAAAAATACCCTAGTCAGAAACATTTTTTGCTTGCATAGCATCATGGAACTACAGCAAACTTAACAGAAAATTTCTCAGTTTCTTCGGACATGTTTTGCAGATAACTGATGGAAAGAAATAATTAAACAGTATAATATTTAAGGTGTTGATACAGTAATCATTAAAAATCATAATACAGTCAGTAAAATTGATCGATAATTCAATTGCATGCACCTTGTGAAACGATTATGTGGAATAAATCTTGAAAGTACTAGAACCTCTGTTTGTAATCCTTTGGTGCTGTAAAGAATGAGGTGAAAATGGTTCAGTGAGATACAGCTATCAGTGTTGATCATTCAATTGCACCGTATGAAACGATTATGTGGAACAAACCATTAAAGCATCAGCGATTATGAGGAGCACTACATATGTTCTGGGTGGTTTTGCAAACAAGTGATGAATTCTGATGCTGGCATATTCTCAAAACAAATTCGATAGACAGAGTAGAAAAGTGGATATGCATTCGGATCCAAATCCTTCATCAAGAGAAAGGCGATCACCTCCGATGCTGTCTGTGGTCCCTGTAACTTTTGCCCATTCAGCATCTCCTTTTCCAACTCTTCTATACTTTTTTTTGTTTTAACAAAAGCTTCCGATACTTTCCTATTTCTGCCTCCATAACATGTAGTAACAAGATCAGCAACTCCACATGATTCGAGGAAGGTAGATGTCTGGGGTTTAATATCAGCAAAAAAGGCCCTCGAAAATGTCATCATTTCCATCAATCCTAAACGAATAACTGCAGCTTTTGTATTGTCCCCTAAACCCAATCCATCAACAAACCCAGCTCCGCATGCCACAATATTTTTTAGAGCTCCACAAATCTCAACGGTTTCAAGGTCTTCCACAACACAAATTCTAAAATTTGGTGTTTGCAACAGATTTTTGAATATTTGGCCATTTTTGGAACACCGACATCCCACTGTAGTTTCACAAAACATAGAATCTGCTACTTCTCTAGCGATGTTGGCACCCATTAAAACACTGATATCAATTCCAAGACTCTCGTGAATTATACTGCTAATCAGGCGAAGTCCCTTTTCAGAGTGATCCACACCTTTGATTAGAGATATACCGATGGCATCTTTCTTGATTTGGCCTTTCAATTGATCGCATAGTCTTTTGATAAATTGATGTGGGACCACAAAAATAAATATATCTGCATCTTTGCCTGCTTCCATTAAATCAGGTACGGCAACCACATTTTCTGGTAGCTTGTGGCCCGGGAGGTATTTGACGTTTTCATGGTCATTATTGATTATTTCTGTCAATTTACGTCCTTCGATCATTTCTTCATAAACGTACATATTGACCGTGTCGTGGAATTCACCGCTTTCTGCTGCATTTTTTCCAATAATTTTAGATATGGCTGATCCCCAATTTCCAGATCCTACGATGCATATTTTCTTAGGTGACGTCATGATACTGCAATTAAACTAATATAATAATAACATAAATAAACAAGAAATTATATTAATCTTCAAAACACATTAAAACAAGATTTTAACATTGTGCACTGGTTTAAAATAGAAGTAGGGCCTACTTGGGATCTGGTCCACTTTAGTGCAATTTGATCACATCTTATTCCAAAAAGCAATGAAGCATTAAAACAGCAGCAATGCCCCTATTTCACTTAGAATGACATTATTCTAACCAGCCACACTTCATTGATTCCCAGTGAAACGAATTCAAACTGCACCAAAGTAGAAAAACATATCCTACCACAGTAACTATTATATATATATACACACACGGATCAGTGATATATCAATTAGTTGTGTGCAAATGGGCAAAATCACTTATAAGCTTTTTACATACTATGGTCAACGAATAGATAGATCATAACTTGAAAACAGACAATTCAAATAGTGAAGATGATAGAGCACAGTAATGCAAGTGCTCCGATGGTGATTTGAATAAAATAAAAGCTTTTGCACAGCCCAACTACCGGTACTTTCAATAAGAATATTACACGATATAGACATTTTTTCCATGGGATACTGGGTGAAGCTAAAATCGTAGGACAATGTGATTTCTGAAAAATATGAACGCATTTTCCAATCCTGTTGAAATTGTACTATGACAAAGGGTTTCAGCTACTGCACTCTGCCTATTATATTAAAAGTATAAAGCATGCCCGTTACAGTCCGAGTCACGTTAGCTGATTCAGGGAGCAAATATTATTAGTATATCTGTGAAGCTACTGATGATGACATGTTGATTTTATGTCAAATAAGCAATAAAAATTATGACAATGAAAGAAGCATTGACTGCAACTACTGCATTAAAGTACTAATAATGAATAGTATGGCAAAAAAGTACTTGATAAAATTGCACTACAAACTAGGGTGATACTATACTATTGTACTTGAAAAAATTGGTACTTTGATAACAGCAATATAAATGTAAAATATTAAAGGAATACAATAATGACAAAACAAAATTTGTTACACTTTTTCCATGTTTTTCTTCTGTTTGAACTACTGACATATAAGTAATGTGACAACATTCAACTCAGCAGTAATTTAGTTACATAGGTGTAACCAAACAAGAATGCCATTATCAAACAAATGAACAGACATACTAAAATATTAGCAGCGAAGGACTTTAAAATGCAACCCTTTTTAAGTATGAATATCTGCACTCTTTTTATTTGTAGGCTCATTCAGAGTCTTGGTCACTCTCATTCAACATTGTGTGTCAGTAATTAAAAAAAATAGGCTGTCAAACTAAAAAATATATAGCAAACTTACAATACCAATTCTTATTTGAAAATGAGTGAATCAAGCTAAGTTTATTTAGTCAATCTGAATGGTAATGTTATGCATCCCAATGTTACGTTATGATTCATTTGAATTCATACGAATAAGTGCATTTGCAATACAAAACTTTACATTCGACTGTGTGACCTAAAATATCAAATTCCTCAACAGATAAACTAACGGTTACCATAAAAGGATATATATATATATAAATAAAAAGCTAAGATAGGCAAGAAATAAACTAAGTTTGGTGTATCCAATAATACACACTTATATCTGTTTGTAGTAAAGTAACAGGTAAATACACCATTTATAAAGTTGACGGTGCAGCATAAGATTTAAATCTTGAATTTTGATTAATACTAAAATATGTTAGGTTCCATTATTATACATTGATATGGTAAATTACTCCCGAAAATTTCAATAATAACAGCTAGCTCCATACTATTATCGTTAATTATGTTTGAATCAAGATGTAATACCCAGAATGTATAATATTATTCGATGACCACAATTGCGGACTTCAACTTGCCACTTCAATTTGCGGACAAATATGAAAATGAACATAAGGCATCTGGTTTGATTAGCTATATTATAATTGCAAGCAGGTGAACTAATTAGTGGAAAATATTGATTAATAAAGCAGTAATGCATCGATGTAAATAAAATATGTCCTAATCCCTCTTGGTTTGACGAGCCTTTCTTGAATAATTTAGCATGGTCAGTGGTTGTATATTTGTTGAATATAGATTGAAGGCTATATGGAATAACATACATATCAAACACATATTTATCATACCCTTGAGGCAAAAAAAAAAAAACACAGAAGTTGCAAAAAGTACCTTCAACAAATCTAATCTAAGAAGTATTTAAATCTGAATATACTGACAATTTTAGACTAAAAACTATGGTATACAGTTAAAAATAGACATCAGGCAAAGAACAATATGGAGAAATATAAAACATTAGTTGCACAATACAATAAATACAGTAGCTATCAGTAAAATATATTAAATTAAAAATTGCTTGAAGATTACATTATAACATAATGAATTTTGAAGGTAACATCTACACATCATCAAAAATATTTTTCGGAGGTCTCTTCGCAGTTACTCGTTGCGTTGACCAATTTCTTGATGAGGCCCATCTGCTACCACTGTCTCTCTCTGAAAAGCTATCACTAGTATTTGCAGATTGTTCACCCCTAACTGAGCTGTAATCCAATGGTTCAGTATCACTCAAAAGTTCTACCTTGTCGTTTGTTCTCATTGACTGCAAATGTTTATCTTCAACTTCTCGCATGCTTCTTCCTTGCCATTGTCGTGTTGATATGTCGCTTGTAGTACCATGCATTTGTATTCGATTCGAACTCTTTATTTCTCTTTCTTGACGTCGTAACTCTCTGTTAACAAGTTGCTTTCCTTCCTCTACAAAATCTGCTGTGAATTCACCTTTGACATTGCCATCTATAAATTGTTCATAACCTATAAAAGCCAGAAGTCTGTGTCCTAAACTGAAGTATGTTACGATGCAAAGGAGAACGACCAGCATAGGAAAGTATATGTTGAATCCATTTGAAATAATTGGGATCACATCGAGATGACCCATGATCTGTGTATAGGATGTTTCAATATTCGTGAAACTGGATATATGAGTGTCCAAATGTATAAGACCAAGAAAATTCAAACACATTGGTGGTGTGAGACGACATAGCATTATTCCGACAAACATTAAGCTTGGTTCATTCGTTTGGTGATGGCCCGCAATATAATAAATGTTGAAGATTTTCATGCGAAATATAGTGTAATATGCACAAATGCAAAGATAAGATATTGTTGCGAAACAAGCAAGTTCAATGTAGAAATAACTATAACTTGTTTTAGCAAGATTGATGAAGATCGCAAAAAGCGATAACACAGGTTTAGCATTGAAAAATGTGCATTCAGACCAAACCACCATAAGAGATAAAATCATTAAACAGAATGCTGATATTTTCAGGAGAATGGGTCTGATTTTGCATTCCCAATACCATTTTAGAGTAGGTGTACAGAAAAATGGTAGTTTTCGTTTATCAATAACTGGGCTATCTACCCATAGACCATCACCATTTCTTATATTCTTCACAACTGTGTCTAAATGTATTGCTTTATCCATTAATATTTTCCATTGAATGACAGTACGCTTTTTCATCTGAGCAGCATCAATAACTCTAGTATGCAATCGGACAAGTGATTTTTCCGTAACATTTTCCTGGCCATGTCTCTGATCTTCGTATTCAACATAATCATCCATTCCCTGACTAATCTTATCCTGAAATTCATCGGGGCATTTAGCAATGATTGTGTTTACATATTTTCGTAAAGGATGGTTGTATCGAATAGCTTCCGAGTTTCTTTTCACATCCTCTAGAATGTCTTCCATTGTTTCAGAAGCTTCTTGCTTTTCTGTGCTTAGTTTTGCAAGCTTGAAATGCACGTATGACATCATCAATACAGGATTTGCAGCGCGCCATACAGTTCTTGGAACTTCAACAAGGCCGTAACCAAGAAGAAGCACAAGCAAAAATAGACCCCACGTATTGGATGCAGTAATGCCAATCACTTTGAGCTGAGAAAAATTTAAAGTGATATCCCGTCTTGTTGCGACATAAATTAATAAGACAATGAAAATCAGCAAGTATGTTCCATAATAAACAGCATTTTTTATCAATGCATGTTTGATTTTTCCTGCTGTAGAAAATTGTCCTGACCATGAATATGATTGCATGAAAGGTAAGATTACCCAAGTAAGACATTGCGCAGTCCAATAAACGATTCTCCACATTATTGGCAGTGTGTATGACGGTACATAACTCCATGGCATTTCACAGTACTTATCACTAACATCTTTTACTGTATCGTCATCAGTACCATTAGAAGTAGCATTTTGAGTGTAATTTGATCCTTTGATTGTTTTATTTTCAACAACCTCTACTTCATTTTCTTCGGACATGTTTTGACATTGTCGATAAAATGTTGATGATACATCCAATGGTAGAATAAAAACAATGATCAAGCTGAAATACCACGCTGTTAATGTCACGAATGTAACCAATGGATGTTGCTTTGTAATATTTCCATAATGATGCAAGAGAAATACTGCGAGACAAAATACTATAATAAGTTCCAATGCGAGTGGACCAACACTCATATTGGTGTAGACTAGATAGCAGCAACTTCAAAATTATTGCTATGCGAATATATAAAAAATAGAACAAATATTATGTAACAGAAAAAAAAAACATTCATAAAATATAATACTGCAATTGCATATCATAGTTATTCCTGTCCTGTATTCCATGGTGTATTTACTGATCTACTCGCACATGGAACTCACTATAATACTGAGAACTACAGTACGGCCAGATTCCAAAAATAATAGAGAATAAAACGAGACGTTTTAGATTGAAACAACTTGAAAGTGCCGCACTGGAAACTCTACGGACGTCATTATCACCGTCGCTCGCGACATGGATTGAACATCTGGCATTTACGCAACGATGTAAAGCGTGTTTTGTCTTCACGCACGCACTTTTCACTCGAGTTGCGTGACGGAGCGAGGTGATTCCCCATCCGAAGTTAAATATTTAGTGGCGCAGTGAAAAATAAGACAATCAAGACATAAAAAATGATCCGATCGACAAGAAAAT